CTGCTTCTCCCTCTGACCCTCCCCCCTCTCATGCTCTCTCTCTCTATCTCATTCTCTCTCTCAGATAAATAAATCTTTAAAAAAAAAAAAAAATTTATTCCTATGTATTTTATTCTTTTTTTTAAAAAAAATTTTATTTGCAAGAGGCAAGAAAGAGCACGAGCAGGGGTGGGGAGAGGAAGAAGCAGACTCCCCGCTGAGCAGGGATCCTGACACTGGGCTCAATCCCAGGACCCCGGGATCATGACCTGAGCCAAAGGCAGACGCCTAACGACTGAGCCACCCAGGCATCCCTTTTTGTTTTTTGGGGTTTTTTGGGTTTTTTTGCTATTTTATTATTAGTGTATAGAAACACAATAGATTTCTGTATATTCATTTTGTAACTTTACTGAATTTATTTATCAGTCCTAATAGTTTTTAGGTGGAGTCTCTAGGGTTTTCTATATAAAGTATCATGTCACCTGTAAACAGGGATGGTTTTACTTCTTCCTTACCAATTTGGGTGCCTTTTATTTCTTTTCCTTATCTGATTGCTGTGATGGGACTTCTAGTACTGTGTTGAATAAAACCAGATGAAGGCAGGCCCCTAGTCTGCCGGCCCGAGAGCAGGGCAGTAGGTGGAACAGAGAGCGAGAAGTGTGGGAGCCCCGAGGTGGAGAGGAGGCAGCAGCAGTGCAGGCAGGGGGACCTTCCCTCCCATCCCTTGGTCCTGCCAGGACACGGTTCTCTTCTCTCGCTTCCATTGCAGGACCACGCTGGCCTGGCCGGGAAGGTCATGGAAGGTGGCAGCCACAAGGATGGGGGCACCGGGGAGCTTTCTGTTCCTCAGGGGGGTCCTCCACGTCCGGCCCCGCAGCTAAGAGCCACGTCATCCAAGTGGGATCGCTTCCTTCTGCTGCCTGGAAATGGCCCACGTGTGGACACGGAGCCCCCAGTACCCCTGCACAGAGACCCCAGGCCAGCCGGGGCAGCACTGCCTGAGCAGGGGACCCCAAGGGAAGGGCGCCCCAGCAGGCCCCTCAGTGCACCCAAGCTTCCCTGGCCCACACACACTCTCACATCGGGGTCCCAGAGGCCCTGCGGAAAGCCCCCCGGACAGCCACAGGACACTGGTCCTCTGGCAAAGGGCAGGCCCACGGTCACAGGGGTACAAGAGCCCCCACTCGTGCGACTGTGTGACCTCTTTGAAACTGGTGAGGACTTTGAGGACGACCTGTGAACTGAAACTAGACAGTTACCGACACGGACACACGTTACATGAACCCTTCTCCCCTGGACCTCTCGGCCACTGCAAAGGGAGCTCCCTAATTAGCTTTTAAATAGGACTAGGGTTGGGGGGCACCTGGGAGGCTCAGTCGGTGAAGCGTCTGCCTTCGGCTCAGGTCATGATCTCAGGGTCCTGGGATCGAACCCCGCATCGGGCTTCTTGCTCAGCGGGGGGAGTCTGCTTCTCCCTCTGCCCCTCCCACCTGCTCGTGCACGCTCACACAGTCTTTCTCTCTCAAATAAAATCTTTAAAAAAAAAAAAAAAGGACTGAGGATGACTTATGCAAACCGTCGAGAAGGACAAACACAACTATCAGGTCATCTGTGGTTGTAACATCTTTGATTAAAGTGCTTACACCATTTAATTACTGATTGCAAAATAGCAACAGAATGGTTACAACAGGGTTTTCTTACTGTAAAAGCAACAGACGCGTCTGGAAATGACAGAACTAGAGCGGTTATGGAACAGGCAGTATTCTGTGAGCTCCGGCCTCCCTTCCCTCTCAGCCCCTCCTCATTCGCAGATTCAAGAAGCCAAGTCCTGGACTGCCCTGTCCTCACTCCTCTCCCACGCAGCAGGATGTCAGCTGTACTCACTCTAAATTTGGAGCTGATCGGGTTTCTAGCAGAAAATCAACTACATGTCAGCCTACTATTAATTAGTCATTAAAAAAAAAGGCCATTAGGCAAGACATTCTGGACTGCTGGTGTGATCCTGGTGGGGGGAGGGCAGGAGAACACCACTGGGCCCCGCTCCGCCCCTGGAAGCCAGCAGACGCTTCTCCGACATGGGCAGCCACACACGGGGCACCCCCCTCCTGTCACTTGTTCCACTGCCCTGGATGGCTTGGTGCATCCCCACCCCCCAGATTCTGGAAGAAGAATGCACAGAAACTGGCCCTTAGAGAGGCCCTGCTGTTCTACACTAGCTCAACACAAGTAGGAGACAGGAAGGGGGTGGGACAAGAAAGGGGTGGGACAAGGGGGCAGAAGCCGTCACAACGGGTGCTTTGAATACTGGATGGTGTCCAGCGCCGCCCCGATGTCGTAGTTCTTGGTCTGCAGGAGCCTGGTGAGCCAGCCGCCTTCATCAGAGAAGCCCATGGACAGCATCTGGGAGAGGGACTCGATGAGCCGGGGGTCAGCTTCTGCCAGAGGGAGGATAAGAGTTGTGAGGCAGGGGGAGGGGGGGCAGCCAGCGCGCCCGTGCCCGCGGGGACCAGCCCTTCCACGGGCCCGCTACCCGGCGCAGCGACCCTCCCCAGCAGGGCCCCGGAAAAGGCCAGAGGGTGAGGATTTTGAGCGGCTCTGCAAGGCTGTACGGTCTCCTGACTCGCGTCTGCCATCACAAGGGAACACCGCGGAGAGCCTGTAAGCAACGGGGCGCCGCCGGGCTCCACTATGTCTATCCTGGACGCTGACATCTGGCTGTCATCCAATTTTCACATCTTGACCTTTTCGCGACCATCGTCAAAATGAAGGAATCAAGGGCGCCTGGGTGGCTCAGTCAGTGAAGCGTCCCCCTTCGGCTCAGGTCATGATCCCGGGGTCCTGGGATCGAGCCCCGCCTCGGCCCCCCTGCTTGGCGGGGAGCCTGCTTCTCCCTCTGCTGCTCCCCCTGCTTGGGCTCGCTCACTCTCGCAAATAAAATCTTAAAAAAAAAAAAAATCACTCTTGGCCCGTAAGTGACAGCTTGCCGCCCCTGCTCTGAGGCAGAGCAGATCAAGACCAGTAGCCCAAAGGGCCAAATGTGGCCCAAGGGGGGCTTTCCCGGTGTCGCTGCTTCCACACTGTTGTGACGGTGACGAGCCAGAGCAAGGCCTCAGCCGCCCCTGCCGCTCAGCTGTGCTCGGGCTGCCGCAGTCTCCCAGGCCTTCCTGCCCCGCACACGCCACCGCCCCACGTGGTGGCTTCCTGCCTGGCTCCCACGGGGACCCTGGCCGTGACCCCCGCTCAGAGGTCGACGCTTTCCTCGGGGGGTAGCCTCTCAATCGCACTGCCCTCGGGATTCGGGGGTCCGGCTGCTGAAAGGAGGGGAGGGGATGTTCTGAGGAAAAAAGGTAGAAACACAGAACTGCGTGAATCACTCGCCTGGTGGCAGATGGGGGTACAATGCAGCTTCCTTCAGTCCTGTGGGCCCTTCCTGAGAAGAGTCGAGAGAGCCCGGCCCTTCGGATTCGGGCATCTGTAGAGACTGGAGTTCCCCCGTAGACGGGTCCACTTCTTTGGAAGACAAGTGAGTCCAGTCTTCGTCTGCCCCCGAGCAGTTATCCGACTCCATCTGCTCCTGCAACAGAAGCCCCCGTGAGCACAGCTGCCCCCAGCTGCCCCCGCCAGCACTCCTGCGGGCAGCGAGGAACGTTCTAGCAGCGGGAACGAAGCCCTCGAAGCTGGGAGGGCGGTCTGCTGGGCTGTGTCCTGTCCGGGGCGGGGCACTTGCCTCCGGTGGCACCGACTCCAGGGCCACCTTGTCCATCTGCTCCGCCAGGGACTGCGCCGCGCCCTCCGGGTCCGCGTCTGGCTTGCCGGGGTCCGAAGAGCAGCTGCTCGGCTGGGAGCCGCACTTTTCCTCGGTGCCGGAGCTGCCTGGAGAGACAGGGGCGAGGCGGCTCCTCTTCCCGCCGTGCTCCACGTCAATATCCACCTCGATGCCTGCAGCGACCCAGGAGGAAGCAAACACCTGTGAGCCCTCCGGAGGCCCTCCTGGCCGGGGACAGGGTGTGGGGCGGGGGGGAACAGC